GGACATCAAAAACACGTTCAACTGAATTCGTCCTCAGAATATGAACAGTCGCACCCTTGGGAGCCATCGGATCTGTTTGATCTGGATCGTCCATGATCGGTTAAGGCGGCTATAAGTAGGGCCCCTGGGGACCCATTTTTCTTTGTCCCATTTTGATCTCTCATGTATTCGGAGGTCATAGATCATGCTGTTGTCAGTGTCTTCAATGTCATTAGGTTGGTTTTTCTCTCTTCTTGGTAAGTCATCTTCCTTGCTCGTTTCATTTCTCTCTACTTTTCCTTCTAGTATGTCAGGTAGCGAGTCCAATGGGGAGAGGGTTGAGTCCAATCAGGCCGAGGAGGGCACCTCGGTCCGAGACTGATGAGGTTCCCATAAAAGGGCCTTGTCTTCCCATCGTCCAGTTAGGCCTAGAGAACCGGACCACTTTGGTCCTACCTAGCTGACTACCGATGCCATTTGCGGTATGGCAGCTCAATACAAAATTCTAGACACCTTTGGTTATTCTCTTCCATTCATGGTTTTCCTTGGGAGAACGAGGAGAATGAGGTCGCAGTCTTCGAAGAGGCTCTAAAGGTTGGCCTCTGCTTCCCACTTCACCCCTTCATCCCCAAGATCTTAAGCTTTTATGATATCACCCTCAGTGAATTGTATCCAAACTCTAATCGTACCCTGGTCGGTATGATTTCCCTTTTCTTCCACCTCGGCCTTCCTCTAGATATCAAAACCTTCACCACCCTCTACAAAATCAAATGAAACCCTGCCAGTAGCTCAGTCATGTTTAGCTATTACTTGTCCGACCAGCCCAGATACAAACTTCTCCACGGGTTTCCCTCTAAAGTTCTAGCTTGGAAAAGCAAATATTTTTTTGTCACCCAATCTACTAGGTGGCCCTTCCCGACACATTGGAGAAAGGGAATCAAAGTCGTTAGGGAAGAGTTGAGTGAACAAATGCAGGCCAGGATGTGTGACCTGGTAAAGCGTGAGCTGAAGCTAGATGACTTTTTAGCCAAGGAGGAGCTGATTCAAGTTGGGATGAGTCCTCTAGGATGGTCATGGTCTTGGGTACAGGTGTTTAACTTCTTTGCTTCATATTGATCTAACTAACTCTCAGTTTTCTTGTAAATGTGACATGTCAGGTGTCGCGACTCCGGGGTTCCTCACTGACATGAGGGAGAAAAAGAGGAGGAAGACGTCTCACAAGGATGCACCTTGGGCATTCATTCCTAAGCCCATTGCACTAGCCATAGTAGAAGAGGTCTCGGTGGTCGATCTTGTCGAGGAAGATTGGGCGAAAAGGCCTACGCAGGAGATCAAGGTGAACCATTTGTTTGAGGCGTACCCTTTGAAACCTAGAGCTCCAATAGTCGAGGAGGCTCCCAAGGAGAGACGGTCCATCATGGACTTTAGGACGGCCTTGATCAAAAGCAAAGAGTCCATCTTTCCCGAGGAGGTCTCCAATATGGCCGAGATGGGGCTTGCCGAGCTGGGCGCCAAAGCAATGCGCTGCGTCATAGTGGTAAGCTTCTGAACTCTTCATTATGTTGCTTTCGAGCTGCTTCCTTGTACTAAGCCAATTTCTTCTCTTTTGCAGATGAACTCTGTGGTCCACTATCTTGTAAAATAGTTTGAGCGTCATTTAGTGAGGGCTGATAATGCCAAGGCGGCAACAAATGAATATAAGTCCCAACTAGAGCAGGCTGTTGACTTCATCATAAGTTGTAAGACGAGCTGGTGTTTGAGAGGGACCTCATCAAGGAACTGGAGCTCAACAACATGAAGTTCAAGAAGGATCTCCAGGAGAAGGAAGCTGCTAAGGCTCATGCCGTCGAGGCGTTCAAGGTCTTGTCAGGCTGGTTGGAAGAGAAATGGGAGTTCGAAACTACGACCTTTTGTCAGGGCTTCAAACTCTACCGAATGTTGGTGAGGTCGGTGTGCCCCGAGCTCAACCTCGTACCCATCAAGTCTTCGGCTTGCACCAAAGAAATGTCCGACTAGGTTGATTTGGAGCTAGATTTCAAAGGGAAGACGATGACGCCAACAAGGGTGCTACGGAGGAGGAGGCCGACGTGGAGGCTGCTAGTGAGGATGCTATCGAGGAAGAAGCCACCGAGGAGGGCGCTTCTGTAGTTGCTGGAGTTGGGGACAAGGAGCCCCGTGATATTTAAAACCTTCACATCTTTTCTTGGACCCCCCTGTAAATATGTACTACACCGAGCCTCCGAGCTCGGTCTAAAGAACCTTTCCCCCTTTTTCTTCTTTTCTCTTTTCTTTTTATGATGATAACAATGTAATTTTGTCAAGCTTCAATGAATGAAACTTATTTTTTGCATACCTCACATCTATTATCTCTTTTTAGCACTTCACAAAACCTGAAACTTCAAAAAATAATCTAAGTGCAAGTTTATCCCGAGGTGCCTAGATCTCAAAGTGGCTAGACATAGTATGGGATTAACCCAAGGTATTTGTGTGTCGAGGCGACTAGGCATAGTATGGAATGTAACTCGAACTGCCTATGTGCCTACTGGGCATAATATGATATGTTACTAAACTACCTATATGCCGAAGCGACTAGGCTTTATTGATATGCCAAGGTCGTTATCATGTCGGCATAGGGGGCCTTTATGCTTAAAGTGACTTGGCATCCCCTTTAAAATGTAGTTTAGCTGACGTGTGCTCTATGCAGGGCAGTTTGATCAGGTCGTTGAGGCGGGTGGTCTTCTATACTTGGTGAAATTTTTGAACACTTGGTTGAAGTCACGAATGCTTGACTCTTGAGCTCATAGGTAGTATTTTCTTAGGTTGTCTACGTTCCAGGCACATGGCACCTGCCTCCCTTCCAACGTATTGCATTGGTCTATGGAAATGATTAAGTGATTAAAAATGGTGCCTTTACAGACAAGGAGTTGAATAAGAAAGATGTATTTTTTGCATCTGCCACTAGTGCAACACTGAATGTTGAACATGTTTTTGATGATATTGATGATGTTGAGATTTTTGGAGATCCCCAACCTTTAGGCAAGGCCATTAGAGGCAAATAATTATCCAAAAGGAAGAGTTTTAGGAAATCAAAAGTCATATGCTTCAATTGTTACTAAACAAATGCAAGACATTGTTACATATCTTAAGAAGCTCACATTTATAATTGAGAGAGGGTTTGGTTTGTTTAGCAAGGAGAAGATGTAGGTATATGTTATGAGCATAAAAGGATGTTCAGTGGCATTTCTGATGAAAGCATATGATTTCTTAATTGAATCTAAAAGTTGAGTTATAACATTTTACGAAGTGGAGCCACACCTGAGGAAGGCATTGCTTCAAATAAAGTTGGGGCCTCCATATTGAAGGGAGGAATGAAAGACTTGAACTATTAGAACTACATTTACTAACAAATTAGATACTAACTATATATGACAAAAAACTTGTTTCGATAGTTAAGCCTTTATACCCATTTTGTATATTTTCATGGGATGCATTGGCTATTTAATGGTTGTCCCTTCTTTTGCAATGGTCAATCTACTTTCTTTTGATGATCATTAAACTATACTTGTGTTAGGTGGATTGTATGGATATATTCTACATTAATGGATTTATTGGTATATGGATGATTATAAGTGCATGGAATGAACAAGTTAAACTAGTAGTGTCAGCACCCAATTTTTGCATTGTCCCCACTCCAACCCACTTCTCACACTTTCTAATGTCCGATTCGACCTCACCACTTTTTTTAGAACGTATCAAAACCATAGGGAACCAAATTTCAGCTAAAATACATTTAAATTGACAAGATTCCTTTTCGACAATAACGATTGTGCTTACACCACCACACACACCTGCCACACGATCAAACTCTGCCACATGAAGCAAATCCTTTAAACAACCAATCACATCAAATTTCAGCCTTAAATTCTTTGATTTTGTCATTCATCCATCAAAGATTCCATTTTGACATACCTAACACTACTTTACATTTCAAGCCTAAAACCAATGATTAACACAATTGTCAACCCCCAATTTCTATTCGGTTTGCCACTTGAACCCACAATTCCCGCCAAATTCCTTATCAGACCCTCCCAATCTCTTCACAACACCCTAAAACCCAAGAAACCTAACCTTTAGCCCAAAACCCTTCAAATCCATCGTTAAGTTTACTCATACCAATATAATGCCCTGATCAAGCCTTGTCTACACTTTGACCCTTAGATCAAACACCACCACCAGACTCAAGACCTCCAAAATACTTATATAACAAATTTTTAACTCAAAATTCCTCTGTTTACCCTCTCGTCAAGTGAAGATCCCATTTCAACTCCTTGATCCAAACACATCTGAGCCAATCATACCATATGATTGAGCCCTAGATACATCAAAACACTTGCCCATAAAGTTTCAACCCAAGATTCTCCCATTCACCCCTCTACCGAACCAATATTACATTTTGGGTCTTCTTGTTGACTTAAATTCCTATAATCTTGATTTCCTTGAACCAATCAGACAATATCGCCAGTTCCTAGATACTCTAAAGTACCCACCTATAAAATTTCAACCCAAAATACCCTCGTTTTCCCCTCAATCACACAAAGATTTCGTTTCAAGACCCTAGATTGACCAAACCACTACTCTTCGAGATCTGCCTGATCCGAACTCAATTGACCCAATCTAACTTCCCTAATCAACTTAGGGCGTGCAAGAGTTCTACCTTGCCAAATTTCAAATTGAAATACCCACCATTCATTTAAAAAGATTCCATTTCAGCTAATTTCATTAGCCTGTACATGCAAAACCCCTCTATGTACCTATAACCCATTTCGACCATCTAATCTTTGTCCTAGAACACCCACCATTGGATTAGAATCCCGGTTAGACCTCCTTAGATCTGGTTTGACCCAAATTTCCCAAAATTATGAAGTTACCCCTCTGAATCCCCAAAATTAGCAAATTGCCATCGTACCCTACTATTTAAACAAACCTAACTTTCTCATTCCAATAGAATTCGAAATCCTCACTGTTCATCGTCTTCCATTTCAGGCCGAATAGGGCAACAGCTGCGGTGAGCTCACTTCGATTTCCATTACGGGCCCCCTTTCTTTTACTCATCCACTCTCTTTCTTCCTCTCTTGCTTTCCTTCCTTTTTTATTTTTCTTCCTTCTTCCACTTTTTGACACTCTGCTCTTTCCCAATTGTTGTTTACTCATTCCTCTTCTACTTTTTCTCCCTTTCCTACTTCTTTTCCATTTCTTCCTCCTCTTCTTCTCGTTGTTGCCATTCAAATCATCGCCAACTCTTCATCTCTATTCTCAGTCGTCGGAAAACACTTTATAGCGGTGATACTCATTTGAATTTCTCCATTTTATTGGGTGGTTTCGTATCGTTTCTTTAGGTTTTTCTCATCCTCCACCATTTATACCAATACCGTTCACCATTTAGGCACTCCAACCCATCGTTAATCTCTACTATGCCCGCCGATTGAACAGAGCTGACTACCAAAAGCCCATTGAAGCTTCCCTATCGAGTTTGGACATGATTTGCACTGGAATCATCCCACCTCATCAATGATCTCTTCGATGCATCCCTTAGCCCGCATCACCCTCTGAAATCAATCCGCCGAACTGGCATCTCTACAGCTCTTTGGAATCTGCCTAGATATGCTACGGTCTTCTCCTTGTGTTTTGATTGTCCTTTATTTAACCATTCAAAGAGAGAAGACCGGTTAGGATTTTGTACTTAAATGCATTGCTGATAGCAATAGTGTTGGTTTCATTTTGATCTCCTTTTTCTCTCATAGAAGGTCGAATTTTGTTTGAATATGGTAGCTAATAAATCAGGCATCCTATTACATCCTTTTCTTTTAGTCATTTTGTTACATCAAATTGTTATGTTTGTTTTGCTCCAAGTTGATCTGAAGCTAAGATATGATGGGTTTTGCTAGTTAGAATCAGATTGTTATATTGCAGATTAAGTACTGTTTAGTTCTTCATTTAGGTTGTTTAGATTTGTTAGAATCGGATTATTTTTTAGCTTTTTTTTTTGGGTTTTAGCTTCATGGTGCTGAGGTGAAGGATTTCAGCTTTGCTGGTGTCGACACAAATTTCGTGCAAAATTTGGAGCACGACAAATTCAAAGAAATTTATTTTATTTTTTTACAAAAATGTAAATAGGATTCAAACTCTTTTTTTTTTCTTTTTGTAAAGAAAATCCTCTAATTCCCTTGTCTTGGACAAAATCCGAAACTGTGACTAGAACTTGCAATTATGAGAAGCAAGTAACAATTTGGTGGCAGCTTCCTTGGCTACAAGAATTTGACGAATAATGTCTTTTTTATTGCAGAAAATTGAAAGAACCCTTTTTTATCACAGGAATTTGAAGCTCCAAATTCCCCTGGTTGATGTGTAGCAATTTTAGTGCTTTGGCAATTGAAAAGTTGGAGTCTTTGTTCTTTCTTCCTTGATCTTGGTGCAATTGTCCCTTTATGGCAGAAGGCGGAAGAATTGAGGAGACGAAATATGAGAACCAAAGGGAGGTGGGGAGCTCAAGGAAGAGAGCCAAAAGAGGGCTAGAGCTTTCCTCTTGTTTTCTCCTCTGTTTATAGAAGTTTACCATTAGACGATGAGCTGGTTTAATGATTTCACATGACAATAATCACCATTTATTGCTTTCCATCTATCTTTATTGCAATTCAATTAATCACCATTTATTGCTGATTGACATGACAAATTTGATGATTCGATGATCAATTTATTAATCCCCAACATGCCTTATTAAAGTAAGTTGGTTTGATTAAGATCCCAACACTTGGAATCAAATGCTATTTGGCAAAGGGGTTAGGCCCACATATCATTCAGCCCATTAACCACCCTTATTTCCTTCCATATTTGATCCATTAAGCCCATATCAAATACTAGGTTGCCTTATAAATGGGACTTACCAACTCATAATTAAAATTTTATCAATTTGCCATTTAGTGACAAATTCCAATTTGTGATTTTCTTTCCAATTTGATCTCTGCATAAGACCGGTGTACATGGAAATCAAGTGAATAAATCATTTCCTTTAATTGGCCTTTCTATTAGACCCTGATAGTATCTCCTTGGGCTAATAAGCCAACACATTGGGTCCCACTTAAAAAATCTCTCCTCTTAATGGGCCCAACAACCCCTTTCAGTTTGATTTCATGTTGGGCCCTACTTAACTTCTTGGACCAAAAAAAATTATATTCCAATAGCTAATTATCTCATCACCTAAGCTGTGAAAAATAATATAATAAAAAACAAGGATAAAAAAAAAGGGAAAGAAAATAAAGCATGAGGACGGGGTGAAACATTGAAGTAGAGGCAATCTTTTAGTATGTTGATAGAATGGAAAAAGTGGCAAGTCAAGAGGAACAAATTAGTCCAATCAGCAAAGAAAATATTGTAAACAAAAAAGAAGTAAATTGGGTAAAGGAGAGGTAGTGTTTAGTTCAATAAATTCAGCTATACTTAGGAGACGGGGAAACGAGTTAGTGGAAAGTGATACAATAATAAAAAATGAAGTGTATATAAAATCTAAAAATCAGAAAAGAAAAAAAAAGAGAAATAAGTAAAAGTAATTCTGTAAAATAACTATACAACTTGGGTTCCATAAGAGAATAACACAAACAAATGATAAAAAAGTAAAAAAAAAAGATAAATAAAAATAATAATAATAATAATTAGGGAAATTCCCTTGTGTTGATTTGTTCTTAGCTTGTTTTGCTTCCCTTTGATGTTTCTAGTTTAATTAAATGATTGCTTAATTGTGATTGTGTTTGTTTGGATTTCCATGTGGGCCTCACCTATTGGACCTAGGAGAGGGGTGCCTAATCCCTTCTCTCTCCCATCTGATTCTTTATCTAGACTAGCTAGTCGGCGCCTCAGATGGAGTCGCTATTAAAACAAAAACATTTTTGAAATTCATTCCTGGAGGTTTCATCACATTCATTTCCTAAACTAATGGGTGGTGACTCCAATTCAGTCCAAAGTGAGTCATTTTCCAACACTTACAATGATCAAACCTTCCAAATGGCCTCATGATTCAAACCCATTACATCAAGATTCCCTTTTAAGCCTTCTCATTAGTGAAAATACTTGCAACTCAGATTCCTGTGATTCCACCACCTTTAGAGCCAACAACCATTCCCACTAGATTCTAAATATACTAAGACACTCATCCACCAAAATTCAGACCCAAAAAATCCTAATGTCACCCTCCATCAAGAAAGATCCCAAATCAATCGCCGTTGTCACCTGTTACTCTCTAAATTTAAAATCTCCATTGCAACACACCTTTTTAAACCTCTCAATTGATAACCCATCAAATTTTAGACCTTAAAATAACCATTTTACCCTTTACTTAAAAAGATTCTAAATAAACCATCCACGTTGCCTAATACTATCCAAGTTCAAGATCACATCGAAATACATAATTCGATGCATCTAAACCCCATCAAAACATCTTGATATAGGAATTTTCAAATTTCAAAACTTAAAATGACCATTTTACCCTTTGCTTGAAAAGATTCTAAATAGACCAAATCCCCATTGCTCGATACTCTCCAAATTCAAGATCACCATCATATTGCATTATCTGACACCTCTAAACCACATCAAAACTTATCGATCAAGGATCCATCAAATTTTAGACCTCAAAATGACCATTTTGCCCTTTATTTGTAAAGATTCTAAATAGATAATCCACATTTTTTTATACTTTTTAAATTCATGATCACCATAATAACACATCATTTGATGCCCAAACCCCATTAAAACCTCCCGGTCAAGGATTCATCAAATTTTAGACTTAAAAATTACCATTTTACCCTTCGTTTAAAAAGATTCTAAATAAATTATCCTCGTTGCCCGATACCCTCCAAATTCAAGATCACCATTGTATTGCATTATTCGAAGCCTCCAAACTCAATCAAAACCTCTTGATCGAGGACCTATCAAATTTCAAACCTCATAATGACCATTTTACCCTTTGCTTGAAAAGATTCTAAATAGACCATCCTCATTTTTTAATATTCTCCAAATTTAGGATTACCATCGTATTGCATCATTCGATGGCTCCAAACCCCATCAAAGCCTCTCGATCAAGGATCAAGGATAGTGGGTCCCCTTGCCGCAAGCCTCTGGTAGACTGAAAATATCCTGTGATTCCTCCATTCCATAGAACAGAGAACCAACAGTTATCAACCATTTTTCTAACCAGCTCAATCCAAGCCTCACTAAAACCGAATCATCTCAAGACAACGAAGAGAAAGTCCCAATATAGTCGATCATAAGCTTTTGCCATATCCAGTTTAAGAACCACATTTCCCCCCACTACCTTCCTTTCAATATCATTAACAATTTCTACACCAGATCCAAAATGTCCATGATGTGTTGCCCCTGTATGAAAGCACCCTGCTCTTGTGAAATTAGCTTAGGTAAAATGCCGACCAATCTTTGCAAGAATTTTGTAGCAAAACTTACCTAAGCTAATGGGATGAAAATTTGTGAAACTTTCAAGAACCTTGCATTTAGGAATGAGAGTAATAAAAGAGGAAGTGTAACTCATCGGGAGCTGGCCACCATTAGAGAAATATTGGACAACCCCTACCACATAAGCTCCAACAATACCCCAACACGAAACAAAAAAATGCCCCGTGAAGCCATCCGGTCCTAGAGCACTGTCTCTGTCCATGGCGTGAACCACCTCTTGAATCTCTATCTCAGAAGGAACGACCAATAATAGATCATTGTCTCCCTGATTTATCACATAGGGAATGACCTCCAGCAAATCATCATCGCAAATTGCCCATTCCTCCGATAAAACATTGCGAAAATAGTTCACTGCACCCTGTTTCATGTCCTCTGAGTCAGTAATCTAATTTCTTGTAGAATCTTTGATTTTACAAATTCTACTTTGCATTCTATTCAGTTTAACAAAAAGATGAAAGAATTTTGAGTTTCTATCACCCTCTCTTAGCCACTTAATTCTAGATTTCTATCTCCAGAATATTTCCTCCAGTATGTGAATTTCATTTAGTTTCTACCTCTCCTCTTTGAGCTCAATGAGACTAGCAGCCGAATTCATCTATAAGTGATTCATTTCTGCATGTTGAACACTGCCTTTTGCCTCCTTCACTGCCTGATGAGCATTCCCAAATAGAGGTGTAAATTGGGCCATGCCGCCCGTGGCCCGACACGAACTTGGATCGGCCCGGCACGGCCTGACACGATGGTCTACGGGCCATTCCAGGCCCGACACGACCATGCGGGTCGTGCTGGGCCTGGGATTTTAGGTCCACGGGCTGGCATGGCATGACACGACCGAGCGGGCCATATCGCTTGCATGTTGGCACGGTCCAGCCCGCAGCGCGGCCCAACATGGCCCATGGCACGACCCATATATATATTTATTTATATATATTATATATATTATAATTATATAATAATATATAGTATATAATGTATTAATAAAATAAATATATTTTTTTAATTTTATTATACTAATTTATTTAATTATTGCATATATAAGCAATTTTATACACACAATTCATATAAAATTAAAATTTTAAGTTTTTTTGTCAATTTTTTAAATAAATAGCTTTGGCCCGATACACGGCCCAACCTGGCCCAAGGCTCGGCCCACGGGCCAGCCCGACTCGTGGTATGGCACGGCATGGCACATGCCCACATGGGCCCAGGCCGACCCCCAAATTTTTCATTGGGGAGGGCGGCGCCATGCCGTGCCGGCCCGACATGGCCCACTTTACACCTCTATTCCCAAAAACTTTCCAATTTCATTGCTTGGGCTTATTCCTTAATTTATGTAATTTGAGAAATAAACTTATCAAAGGATTGGCATGAACATCCTTATTCCAGCAATCCTAACAGCTGTGTGAAAAGTGTGATGAGAGAGCCACATCTGCTAAAATCTGAAAGGCTTGGGACCAGTCTGTCTTTTCTCCTCAATAGAAAAAACCAAGGGACAATGATCTGAATAGGTGCAATTGAGATGATTTACTGGCTTTAAAGGGAAGGATTGAGCCCAACTGGAATTAACCAGAACTCGGTCAAGTTGAGCCCAAACACAACCTAACCCATCTCTATTATTGCACCAAGTGAATATGCTTCTAGAGTAACCCAAATCTATCAAACCCGCAACATTTATCATATCAACAAAATCCTCCATTGCGGAGACATCAGGACTTCTCCCTCTCACCTTTTCCTCTCTACAAGCAATCACATTAAAATCTCCAACTAACAACCAAGGGTCGGAAATACAAGAGGCTAAATTCTGAATTCTGTCCCAAAGAATTGTTCTTTCCAGCTAGTTACATTTAGCATAAACCATAAAAGGAAAAAAGATCTCATTGGCAGAGGTGGTAATTTTCACAGTTAGAATTTGATCACAATCCTCTATCAATTATACAGAGAAAAAGCTATTCCAAAACAAAACAATTTTGCTACTAATATTAACCAAGAACCCAGTCATGTTAAGTCTCTTGGAAATCAAGGATAGTCTACTATCCCCAATCATGGATTCAGCCACTGCTACCACACCTAATTTATGCAATTTGCAGAGTTTATTTAAATGAGTGATAGAGGGATCATTTGCAATCCCTCGGATATTCCAGAAGAGACCATTCATTGAG